TCACCTCAAATCGTGATATGGAATGTTTCCAACCAAATTGCATAGTTCAGCAGCAAACCTGCGGCCAAGTCGCAAAGAACTCAGGAGTGCTCGGGATACCCCAGTCGCTGCAGCACCTTTAAACCGATCGGAATATGCATGGTCCGTACCCAACCTGCGCATCTCAACTTCTCCTGCCCAGGCTTGGGCACTCATGCTTCCTCCATGTGGAGTTGCAGCTATGTGCCCGAAGAATATCACAGCTCATTACTTCATATCGAATGCTGTAAGTGCATCGACATTAGTCATTCCGGATGCCTTGCCCGCTCTGCCAAGGATATTTCATGCATATATCGCGGATCCCCAACAATTTTCGTTGAACTCATATCGGCAGACAAGTTGAACTACTCATCAAAACGTATTGCCAATGAGCTTTGGCTTCAAAGGCCCCTAGAAAATGTAAAATTTCTCGGTCCCGTGAACATACAAAATTTTCTCATTGGGGCAACGGCAACACAGCAACCGTTAACCAGTTGCCAGAAGTCCTAGCCGTTTCAGCTATCCTGAAAAGCTCGTTTTCTGGCAACGGGACACATTTCAATTCGTCGCCATTCCCGGACTCATGTGATGGCGGTGCGATTAAAAACGATACAACGCCCCCATACCACCTACAGTCAAACGACATTGCAGAACGTCTCGTGAGTAATTTCAGGACAGCTTTGCTTGAGGCGAGAGGGAAAGAAAGCACAGCAAACACGCTATAACATTTTGTGTCAGTGCACAGCCTGACTACAAATCCGTCCATGGCGGAGGGAAATTTTCCCCTAGAGCACAAATATACTGCGCACCTCGAAGCAAATTTGACCCTCTGAACCCCCAAAGGAGATGGTGCAAAACCTGAACTCGTCGCCCACTAGAAGGTGATTATTCCACTGCCCCCTTAGTGCTTCCAGTTGCCAACAAACCTACAGTGGAATGTAAACGTTCGAAAGACGACTGCGACAAATTCCCTGCGTGTATTCTGCAAGATGTTTAGACAATACAAGCTCTCTAGTTTTGATAAGTCAAACCAAAACACCTATATTCAAAGAGAATGAAAACTCAAAAAGCTCGTGTGCAAATATGTTCAGATTATTAAAATAACATTTCAGAATGCCCAAAACATATTGAGGCCCTCAATTCACACAAAAATTGAAATAAGGTGGACGAGAGAAAAGCCAGCAAAGCAAGTTGCTGATTAAACGCTGAAAAAACAATCAATTAAGCAAAAGAGTAGCTCACGTGTGCGCGATCAACGTTGATCCAAAAGGCTGGATTCAAAGTCAAAATTGCGGTTCCTAATGCGCGATGTTCCTTGTGAGTTTCCCACTCGCTTGTTTGCAAGATTACCATTCTGTTCTTCGCGATGATCCTTCGTCACTGGATTGTATTCTGAAACTCATAAGAATATGACCAAACTAGAGTCATTATAGTAAAGTGAAAACTGCCGTAGTATAATATTACAGTTTTGGCTCCAACAACTGTTGTGATTCCCTTGCTGATCACCTGGACCATACTGGTGTGCCCAATCTTCTGTTGCCACATATCGGTCAGGATTGAGAATACGTAAGACGCCCCCTGTAACACCGACTTCTACCACCCAAGCCCCTAAACGGGACGGTTATGCCAATTTCCTAGCCAACATCAGACAAGACGCAGACGGTCGTCCAAGTGCTTGCGCATTATGTTTACAGCCCCACTCAATTTCTAGTTGCCAGCAGTTTTTGTCTATGAAAGTTCC